AAAAAAAAAAAAAAAAAAAACTAGGTACCTACTTATTTTGGTCATCAATTTGCTGAATTTTAATTCGCACATTGTAAGTTCATAGCTATATTTTCTGAATATTTTAATTATGTCTAAAGAAAGTTAGGTTGAATCAAATTGAAAAAAATACACAATGCGTGTATTTATCCCCACCATAAGATATATGACCATGGTTTATGCTGGGTAATAATTACAGTTACCTATTTTTTTTTTCCATTTATTGTGTTGTTTTTTTTCTAAGTTATGAATGTCAAAATAACTATGTATCTGTCTATATCGTCTTTACATCTAAAAGTCTAAACTAAACAAAATAAATGTACAAGTAAAACAAAAATTTAATACTTACTTATTTTATTTTACAGTCTTACTCTTATTGGAAGATAAATAGTATAGATGTGAAAAGTATCGGATGTACATCCGCAACGAATCGGTTAATAAATGCATCAGTAGCACAAGTTATTAAAATACAATTTATATATCTATATAATTCATGATAACCATATTTTTTGCATATGACTACAAATATTACTTTTATGAGTATTTATAAAACACAGTTGAGTAATTTATGTATGATACATAACAAAGTTATTTAAAGTAAGAAAAAAATATATAATTGTGAATATACAAAGAAACAGTGTTAGATTGAAATTTATCATCTTAATAAAATAATTAAATATTTTTACTCAATTTGTCTTGTTACAGAATCAAATTGTTTCAGTTTATGGTCATCAATATTAGGTCTAACTTCGTAAGTGCAAATAGTTACTCCGTGTCTATGCCCTGGAGTCCATTCTCCTTTTAATCCAATATAATATATTTTCGTATTTTCAGCACCAAAGTTGCTGGGGAAATGCATTGTTAAATGTGATACCGATGAAAAAGTGACAATTCTAAAAAAATAAAAAATATATTAGATACCAAAATAATCACAATTATATAAATCTGTTTTAGAGAAACAATATTTAAAGTTAAGGAATCTTACTTGGGAGAATATTCCAATACACCTTGACTATCCTTCTGCAGTTCAAAAATTTGATCAGGCTCTAGAGACACATCATCAAATGTCATATTGGGTTTATTCTTAAATCTGAAAATTAGTTCTTATTAGTTTCTTATCAGAAAGTGCTTGATTTCCTTAGGGAGATCAAATTTCATTATACCCACAGTCTTAACTTTGCAGGATGAGAATCAGAATCTTCTGCTGATATTTTGATACCTTTAAGTTTCACATTCCCTGTGAAAGGTATATTAAATAATAATTCTTCATCAGCATCACTTTCAACAAACTGAAAAATTAAGAGTGCAATATAAATTAAAATATGATAAATATGATATGCAAACCTAGTTAAATTAAAATATGATTTTATACCTGTGAACATTTGAAAAGGGTTTTATATTTAAATAGATACAAAATTCATAGCAAATAAACTAAAAATAAGCTTTCAATGATATGTCCTTAGCATCAGGAGAAATAGACATAATAATGAGCACAAACTTGATATTTTTATTAGTGGGTAGTCCAAGGTTCCATTAGCCACCTTCCAGACCAAGTCCGAAATTTTGTATGATCATTTAATCTACACATTAAAAATATCATGTTTCGTAATAATAATTTATTCACATGTTTCATAAGGGTGTTAAAAATATAGAAAACCCTCCAAAAAGCCGGCAACGCATTAGTAACTACTCCGGTGTTGTAGGATGACCCACTGAGCTGGATGTTTATGTGCGGCGCCATAGGATTACCATTTACCATCAGGTAATCAGTCTGCTCGTTTGCTGCCCTATTCCGTAAACAAAAATGGAGTTGAGACTCCAATATTAACAATAGAAGCACTTACATGAGTTGTATCAAGTCTCTTGTCCCATGGTTTAAAAACAGTTTTCCCTGAACCTTCGATGGTTTCATTTAAACATTGTAAATTTTCCTTATCAATTTTTTCATATAGGTTATACTGAAAGCCGACTTCGTCGGCACTGCTGTGATCATGATCATGTCCATGGCAATGATGATGGGACATGATTGATATTCTAATTAATACAACAAACAGTGCAAAAATTTTATAGAACTCAAGTATATTTAGAGAACCTCGAAAAGGACCGTGATTCTATGTATCGATTGCAATCGTAGAAATAACAATTTTGTATGTCATCGTACTTAGTCAATGATTTACACACAAAACACAAAGTAGGTACCTACAAACAGCTGAGCCAAAGCCAAACCATAGACATATAATAATTCATCTTTATGGCTGCTGCAGTCCACAGAGTACTTTTGTATCTGCAATTCTGCACTCTGCAGCTGAAGTGAAGCTTATTCACATCTCTATCTGGATTCACAGAAAGGCTAAGTTCAGATGAAAGCGCCACACGCAGAAAGACTAACTGTGCGCTACAAGATCTATTTAAACTATATCACCGAGGTATCGACTACATCACCGAGCGATTTTTTTTTAAGGAGGGAAAATCTTCGTATGACTGCTCCCGCCTAGGTGAGACGGAAGGGAGTGTCAGACTCTTACTGACTAAATACCACCCCGTTCTTTCTCCTACACGTCGAGCCGGAGCCCCGGTTACCCGTTAGGTTCTCCGCGACATCACCGAGCGATACCGACCCGCGCGCTATTTCCTGAACAGCGAGAAACCGCACTGTTCAAGTTCTACAAACCTGAACCTCTCTGTACCGACCTGTTCAGTTGATCTTCGCGAGTTGAGACTGATACACGCATGTGCACGACCGCTCCTCACGTTCACCTGAACTTAGCCTAAAAAACAAATGTAGATAGGATGCTACAAGGTGAGAGATTACATGTGTCGTAGAGAGTATTATATACTTCGTGCTCTATTTTGATCAAATGTGTAAAAACACTAATTTTTTTAATACCTATAAATTTCACGTTTACACCTTGGATAAAAAGCGTCCTTGACAAAAAGGTTTATGAATGCACAAGTGCACACTTCAAAGAGAATATTACTCTAGCAAATTTCGTTAGGTCATCAGGTGGCTGTGGTTGGGCAACCGACAGGCGCGCAACGTATCAAGGGTTTGATTCCGCTCAGAACAACTCCAAATTGTATGACCCAAAACCTGTTAGCCTGGGTGTCACATTAGTACTCCCGACTCACGAGACATGAGCAAATCCTGGAGGTATAAGGCAACGTTATTAAAAAGAAAACAAATTCTACAGAATAAAAAAATTAAAAGATGACTTTTGAATAAGACGGGACATAATGTAACGCATAATGCGACATCTGGCGGGATAAAAAGGCAGTTTCTCACCCCATCATAATCTTGGCCATAGAGAATTAGATTTATTTTAGAGGGTTTTAGAGACAAATGACAGTAAGTCGCCATAGAGTATATGTGCTATGGGAGTAATGACTATTATCATTTCATTATCAATTTCAATTGTAGTGAAATAATCTATTCTAATAATCGATTTCTGCTAAATAAAACAATAAATACGAAAAATATATCTGTGTGACTGTGTTAGTTAAATGAGATTTCATCGTGGTTGTTGAAAGTCATTAGTGATAACAAAATTACGGCGATGTCTTTGTCAACTAATTTCTGTTTAGGTTTCCTTACAATAGTTGTTACTTGTATTATTTTATCCAGCAATAACAATGTACAAGCTAGTGAAAATGATGCTGAAAGCATTTCAAAAATTGGACAAGGTGTAGGTCATATTATGAACATTTATTACTGGTAAGGTTATAATTTTAATTTTATGCACCTAGTCTATCGTATATCTATTCATTTTAGTGTAAAATTTCATGGAAAATTGCTTTAATTTCTTGCAGTTATTCTTGCGGATACAGAAAAGTTTTTGAAGACTATGCGGGTATAATTCAACAAAAATACCCTGAAATATCGGTCATTGGAGCCAATTATGATCCTCCAGGTTTAAATATGTATCTATCGCGATTGATTGTGAGTGAATCTGAGTTAATTATAAAAAAAAACACATTTGTTAATATTCTCTTAAGTAAAATTTTTTCAATAATGAGTTGAATACCTATGTGTACCTACTAAATTCTTATCAGTTATTTAAACAACACTGTCATCATTAACATAGGTCTATTATTTCGTGTTAAGTAACTTAATCTTTACAATACCTATCTCATTTATGTTTCAGGGTTTTGGCAAGATGATACTGATCATGTGCATACTTAGTGGAGTAAACATATTTGCTTGGCTGAACAAACCACAGCCTGCTTGGTGGAGTTGGTGCCTTGAGAACAAACTGTATGCATGCATGATGATGTTTTTCTTAGCTAACATGGTTGAGGGACAGTTAGTGTCATCTGGTGCATTTGAAATATCCTTAAACAACATTCCACTGTGGTCCAAGTTAGACACAGGAAGAATCCCACAGCCACCTGAGCTGTTTCAAATAATTGACAATACATTGCAGTTCTCAAAAATGGAATTGTCCAATAATAACTTTGTGCAATAATAATTTGATGTTGCAACTTTGCATATATTGTTTATAAATGGGACTGAGGTTTTTAAGATAAATAGGGTGAGATATAGAGAATTCATAAATTTCATGTAATAATAGGCATTAAAGTTCAGATAATTTATTATTGAAAATAATGTGTTAGGTACAATTCTATTATGCTTCACAAGCCTTACACAAATTTTAAGCTATCTATTGTGAACATGTTGTTTCTGAGGTGTAATGTGCTATACATCTATCCATACTCTCTTGACCACAATAATGTTACCCTGGTTTAGAACTCACATCATTGATACTGTAATATGTGTAACAATAGTAGAAAATTACAAATACATAAAGAATTAGGTGCTATTTGTTACATTTTTCAATATTTGCAGGCGCACTTGAAGCAAGCAAATAATAATAGTGATTGTTTATCTCAAGTAGTATAATTTTAAGCATGTTTCACAACTATTGTGACTCATAATTTAGCAATTTTTATTTCCAATTTAGTTTTTCTCTGGAAAATAAGCATTCAGAATTTAGTATGTTTAGGCACAGCTGTTATTGTTACAAAAGAACCAGTTCATTGCAATAATTGAATAAATTAATATTTAACTCGTTGAGTACCGTCATTATAGACACAATTATAGAACAATAGGTTGCGGTCACCGATGACCGCTTGGTATTTGACAGTTTAATGAAGGCATTTGTTCTAAGTTTAGTTACTTTTTATGACTAGAATACATAAAAGCAATTTTTCTTTACAATAATATGTTAAAACTTTGTTTTTGCATTACATTGTTGTTGCATATAAACCCTAATAGTCCATGTAATTAATATGTTATAAACACCTCTAAGTTACATACTTTAAATATTCTGCTAAGTAGATGTTTATAATATTGTAATTTTTTGTGACTCGCTTGTTGCATTTAGTATAATACAAATGTGTTAAAAATAACTTGTATTTTGAGTGAAAAGCTTACCAATAAATAGTTTTTGAAAAGTCACAGTATCATAAAAACAAAAAATGAATTAGAACTATTGCTGACATAATCATTTAGCTACATGTAAACATGTTTTTTTTGCCTCTTCAGTAGGTATGCAATGTTTTGATGTATTGTTTAATATTGTTAATAGTACAAAATACTCTAATTAACTGAAGCTGTTCAAAATGTCTTAAATATCTAAAATCACTTAATATACTAATTAATAATGTTTTTTGTTTATTTATCTAGTCAGGATTTCAGTAATGTTCAACAAAGAAAACATGTCCTTACTTTGTGAAACCCTATTTAAATAAAAGTTTAAATTAAAATACACTTGTTTTTTATTTCATAACTATGTTCTGCCCGCGACTTCGTACGCACAATCCCGTTTTTTTTTTTCAGTTTCCGTTCGTAAAGTTAGGTAAAAAGTAAAAAAGTATGCTTTGTCCGTCTCCTAGTCCTGCGGAGAACGTAACGGGTTACCGGGGCTCCGGCTCGACGTGCAGGAGAAGGAACGGGGTGGTTTTTAGTCAGTAAGAGTCTGACACTCCCTCCCGCCTCACCCTGGCGGGAGCAGTCATTCGATTACTTTCCTCACTTAAAAAAAATCTAAACTACCCACCAATTTTCACCCAAGTCGATTTAGCCGTTTGATTTACAAATAGTTAATTAACACTATACAGGGTGGAATTTTGTATTGCCACCTGAAGAGGAAGTACTCTTAATACTCAAGATAGAACATTTTACTCAAAGGGAACTTTCCTTTATTTTTGAAAAGAAAGAAAATTGCATTCGAAGTTTTTTTTTAATTAGTTTGCCGCACACTAATCGAACCGACTAAAATGTGTAAAACTTGCACCCTACACATCTTTGAATGTAGTTATGTTTCTTTTAAAAAATGAAGAACAGTTCTCTTTGAGTAAAATTTAAGTTTAAAGTATTATGAATATTTCCCATTCAGGTGGCATTATAAAATTCCACCCTTTATATAGATTTACACTTAATAATGTGGCTTGTAACTAGTCCAGTTGTCTCGGTAAACAGTTACGTGAGTAACGCCAAGCGACTGAGCGGCTACTCAATTTTAGGTTGTACTTAAATATTGTGCCATCTCTATCATTTTTAAAGAATTTTTAGTGACAGATACGCGACTTAAAATTGAGTAGTTTTTCTGTATTCGGGCGTAAGCCATAAAATCACAGAAAAAAATAAGTAACTATTAAAAACAGCATTTAATTTACAAAATAATTATACAATTATTTCAGTAGGTACTTAAGTTACAAAGTGTCTAAAAAAACTTAACAATAAACACGTTTTACCAGTGAGTAGTTCATAGGGATCCTTATCTATTTTAAGTTTATTCTATAAAGCATATCATATCAGTACTTGCCGAACTAGTGTAGATTGCGACTCATAAGCGTGCCTGATTTCGAAATCTCAAAGTGTATAGTCACCGAACTACCTCGCCTTTAAAGTTTAATTCATATTCAATAAAACTATTGATTTAAGGACTGACAGTGTTCGACATCAGCTAGATTATTCTGTAACTTCCAATTCGAAAGGTCGAGTGACCTCGACCACGGTCTGCCAGGTCCATTGGTTGTGAGAATAATCTCGACCAATAACGGGCGAGAAAAGAATATGCTAGTAGTTCCTAGTTAGATAGGCTGATAGGCTTGAGAGATTGTTCGGTCATTATGATGATGAGTTGGAGCAACAAAATAAAACTCATATCTTGTAAAACTTATGCTGGTAGGTACTACAAAACAAACAATATTAGCACAGTACTGTAGAGTAGAGATTTGTACTCTTATTATGGCCAAAAATGGATTCCAAGTATGAGTGGTCTACGTGAGTTGGGCATGGCACATGGGGCAGGAATGTCGCAGCACTAGCTCGTGGTGCTGCGCATGCGCGGCGCAGATGGCGCAGGTCCACACGGCCTGGCCGGCGCCCAGCCCGCGCCCCGACACCGCGCACTCGGGGAACTCGCTGCTGCAGCGCGGACACGACGCCGACCTACGACCAATACATACTCGAACTCATCATAGGACGTAGCCCTCCCCCAATGACTTTCAGATAGTACCAATTCATAGTACCCATTAGCAATCAAATTAGACTGTAGATAAAATTTAAAATTATTATTATTAATTCATACTAGTAGATTCAGGAATTGAGACACCGTTGTGTCAAGCGAGAATAAAAATAGGACTCGTCAATATAGATAAAGTAAAGGAAACATACAGAAAATTATAGATACTTTATTTTGAAAAATATATTAGGATTATGTAGATTAGGTACGTACCATTCAGGCATGCTGCAATCGCAATTCGGACATTCAATTTTGTTTCCTTTTGTGTTTTTGGGCTTGTATCTTGTAAATATTTCTATAGCCAAATTTTCAAAAGTTTCAGGCTGCAAAAATGTATTATAGTATTTTAAAACGAAACTTGTTTTTATTTAACTTAAGTTGTAGGTAGGTACAAGGTAGATATTTATTGAAAATAACTTACATCTTGAGCTTCTAGTTTAATTAAAGCCTTCGAACATAGCTCAAATGCTCGGGTTTGAATCGCTATTGATGCTATCGTACACCAGACCTGTGGGTTAGACACATTCGTGTCCATATAATTGCACATTTTATTAAACCATTATTAATTAATAAATCACGTTACAGGGTAGTTGTGCCGCATTGAAAGTTCGAAATGAGAATCCTCATTACGAATAACGTTGGTATGGATATATTACGAAATAGCGTATAACCTGTGTGTGCATGGCGGGATGCAGCGCCGTGTGATGCTGCATGAGTCGCGCGGCGGCGCGCGCGGCCGGCTCGGGGCGGACGGGCCGCGCTTACATCAGTCGAACGCCGCCGCCCAGTGCGCCGCGCGCGCCCCGCGCCAGCACCGCGCCGCCTCACGACCGCGACTACCGTCTGACACAATGTAAAGTCAAAGTTTAAAGTGTCTTTAAAATTAGACCAGGAAGGCGTTTTTGCAAGTCAAATAAAATATTAAAAATTTCAGTCTGTCGGTCAGTCCTGTAGTGAAGCTACTTGCTCGTTCGTGTAGATTCCTATGGAGAAGAACGAGTAAGAAAAGGTACTTACTCTTGGTTACATTAATTCTTTTGAAAACGTTGCCGTCGTTTACAAAGATACAAGTTCACATACACGTGACACCCAGACCCAAAACAATAATTTGTGGATCACACAGTTGTTCGAATCCGGGACGCGTTGCGCGGCAGTCGGTTGCCCAGCTACCGCACCAACCGTGCAGTCAAAACATTGTTAGTTTAAATTATGTAAGTACAATGCAACAACAATATTCAGATAGATCCCATACATCATGAGCTGCCCTAAACGAATTCCTCTTGGCATTTACCATTTGCGCTTGGCAGGCAGTTTCAAGGTCCCAATTAATTAAAATCTAACGCCTACCCGGGTCGGGTTACCCTATGCACCGTATAACAACTAGTCGTATAACTATTAACAACAATAGAATACTTACCGACTGAGCTTTGGCTGTACAAATAACCAGCTAGAACATAAAGCTTCTTAATCTTCAAAGGTGATGCCTTCTTCGAAGCCTCCAAATTAGCTAACTAAAAATAAAAGTATGTTAGCTTGACTAGCCAGAATATCTATATGGGAAAGTTAGTCAAGTCTTGACCTTTTATTACATGACTTACCTGTACGAGTCATCGTACATTCTTTAAGAAATATTTAATAATTGTAACATTCGCAACTAATTGTGCAAGGCCGTAGGTATTGCTGACATTGTGACACACTTCGTCTATACTGTGAAGACCTTTATATCTAAGATGATTTGTATAATTTTTAGTGTTATTAAATCGCTCAATTGTGTCGGTGGTGTTTATATTTCCACTAATCCCTGAACCCACATCGGGATCATACCGACACCATACATCAACTACACACAACATCATATGTACGAGAGCCTACAGCCCGTACATTTTGGTCCTTCGAGCCGGATGTGTAATTAATGTCCATCCATTGTGTAATTAATAACATAAGTATCTCAATACAAAATCCGTAGATAAATATATAAATAAAAAATAAATAAATAAATTGTTTATATCAAAAATTTAACTAACTCAACTCATGTTTAAAGTAGTAAACACACGGCCACACATAAATCTATACAAAACCAGTTTATCCTGGTGTCGCGTCGCATCATCTTTCCGCACATTTAACGTTCAGTTTATACTGGTTATGTAAAGCTTGATGTGTAGCCGTGTGTACAAACGTAATAACAGTAGATATACTAAATTGTCTTTGTATAATTAATGCCATTGTAATGGCGTGCGGGAATGATATCCTACTCATTCAGTTTCAAGTATGATAATATGACTCGCCTGAAACGCCATTTCCGCAGCTTGCGTCATCCTGCCGCTTTGCTTGAGTTGGATAATGCCCTGTATTGATGGCTCTTGACCCATACTGTCATTTAACTCGTTCAACAAACTTTGCTTTGTCAAGCCCACTTCCTGGTGATAAAAATTGTATCATTTGACATATCAAAACAGTACCAACTCTCTATCAGAGCACATCATCGAGTGATAGAGTCGGATATCTTAAGATATAATTGTAATAACATAAAGATATTTGGCAAACATCTTATTTACAAAAAGCGATGCACATTGGCTACTATTTCAAAAGTATTACGTATCATTAAATTATTATGCAGCCAAAGCATTGCAGTTAAAAACTGATTTTGAACCTTACAAATTATTGTACAACAAAATAATAAGATTATGAAACAAACCTTTCTCGGTGACGTGGTAAATAATTTAGACAGAGACTCGTTATCCTCAAGTGCCATATAACATTTCTTCAGACCTTCAGTATTGTTTGACATGGTGTAATACTCCAGTGCACTAGACCTGGACAGTAGGGATGATGACAGGGTATGAAAATAAAATATATAATTAGTCCGTAAGTTAGGTAATTAAAAAATATTACACACGTATTTTTTTATTTTGTCGTATAATAAAACAATACTTAGATAAAACGAATCAAAGTTTAGGAGTGGGGGCTAAAACGTCATTTCTTAGTACAAAATGTACTGAGAAGTGACGTCACGCGACATTTCAAATCAATATATCTTCGAAACTATTCGTTTCCGTAAGAAAATAAAAAATACGTGTCTAATGTTTTTAAATAATCTACCAGACGGACATTAAAATAAAAATTAGTCGTCTACCCTGTTATACAACAGTACAGTATACACAATAAAGTCCCCGACCGCATCTCTCTGTGTAGTTCGGCATGATAAACATAAACTGCTGAACATATTCTAATGTGATTTTAGATAGATTGTTTCTTTAAGAAAGTTGAAATGTGGTAGTGAACTTATTTCAGTTATTTGTGACGATTTGAGCATCAATGGTAATATCCTCAAATTAGAAAGCTAGTAAGTATATTTAATCCTACGAGTACCATGTCAATCACCGGTGCCTGTCGCTAGTGGAGGTTTGACTTTCACTAGCAGTACCCAAGTATTAAAATTAATAAAGAGTTACCAATTCTGCCTATCAATATAATAATCTCCAATGTTGCTGTATGCCTGTTTGACTTGCGCATCGGTTGTACTTGCAGACATCTTCAGTAGTTCGACGACGCGGAACCAATGTCCTAAGCGTTTCCGAAGGGCGATTGCTAAGTCCCTGAAATTAATTAGATTAATTACTTAATCAAATCAAATTAAGAGAGAACCACTACTAGTTTCAATTCGCACTCGGACGTTTGTTCACGAGTAGTGTGCGTGATGCAGTGACCCAACCACCCAACTCTTTATGCCATATTTTAATTAATTTAGTATGTCCCACGATTGTAAATACACGGAACCGGTGGATGTCACGTCTTCGAGTAAGTTCAACACTCAGGTAAATTATAGGCGAACAATTACAATTCTTAATGTGCTCGTCCTATGAAATTTTCAATAATTCAATAAGTAAAGAGTATACCGACCGTCTATCTTCATTGTGGTATATTTTTTCAGCAGCATCGAAATCTTTGAAGTAGGCTAAAATTTCAGCTTTTTTAAGAGCATTGGAATGTAATGCGTTCAAACGAGACACAAATTTAATTCCAGCATAATCGTTACGTCGCACAAACGCGGCTTCTGCCGTCTCAAGTGCAGATTCTGACTCGAAATTTTTTAGGGCCGCTTCTGCTAGTAACAACCTAAAACAAATTTAAGTAAATGAGATTTGTTGAGTTAGGGGTGAGCGAACGGTCCCCGAAAAAGGACAGAGACGGAGTGCTTACCTACAGCATGAGTTTAGAGCAATAGTATTTATCGATACTCGATACCAACGACGTCAATTTTTATATGCGTAAATTTTAGTTCCGTAAGTTACCGCTAGAGGCGATGTAACATAATTATGTTATAGAAATTACATCGTGTCTATCGATTATTCGGCAAATACTATTGCTTCTATATGACTAGATGCGTGAGTGTAATGGCGAGTTTCCAAAAGCAATAGGTATGTGTTTCTTGGCCTTGTTTTGTAAGACTGTGATGTCCCAAAAGGGGGCGGCTGAGCGGCATCGCGAGAGTTTCCCCCGTCATAAAAAAAAGATGTGTTTCTGTTTTGTGTTTCCATGATTAGTAAACAATTCAGGTGTATGCAAGAATGTATCTTACCACAGTTGGGGGTGTGGGTTATCTTTAATAAAGTTCTCTGCTTCCTTGAGCCCCACTTTTTCAATAAGCTGTCGCGTATCTCTCAGAGACTTGACTTCCACCTTCACAATGTGTTGAGGTGTGCATTTATCATCCACATTGTCCAAAAGTGCTGACGTAATTTCCAATTCCTAGAATTTTGAAAGCTTATATTGAAAATTTTAAGATTATATTGTAAAGTTTTATTTTCTATGCAATTTACAGAATGATTTTTATATGAAACGTTATTGGCACGGCTTACCTTAAACTTGCACAAGTATCCCTGCATAGTGAGAGGTTCCTCTGGTTCAGTGTCCCTCATGACGTAGAGCCTCGCTTTCTCAGCCACGGCCAACATCTGCGGGTTGTCAGTGGCCCATAGTGCACTCCACACGTCCTTGCGTAACGCTTGCCCTATACTTATGTTGTTGGCCATGTCTGTCTCCAGCAAGTACAGCGAGCCAGGCTGGTCAATCACGTAAAACTTGCTAAAATCATAACAATCATTAAGCTACATCTAAAGTAAATATCACGATAATCAAGCACTTAAGTAGGTTTAAAGAGACGCACCTAGAATTAGAGTTGAGTCCCAACCTATAGGGGCGGGAATTCATATTTATAGAAGTGATTTTCTTAAAATTAACGAGTGAAAACAGCAATATAGAGCCAGAATCTCTTCCGATCAAGAGATGTGTGTCTGAGCTTGCGATGCAGCAAATTGTGTCGTCCTGGAAACCGGTGTCGCTACTCGACACGGGCGAGCCGTCCGCCTGGTACAACTGTTCCGTGGCACCTGGAAAACATACAATATCACATACACAACACATCCAGAGCCGGAAAAATAATTTGTTGATCACATATTATTAGTTCTTGCGGAAATTGAGCCCGCTATACGTTGCGCATCCACTGGGCTAAGCACGCAGTAATTTTTAGGTACTTACGAGGTCTGGTCGGTGTAGAGAACTTCCATATAAGGAATGATTCCTTCGACGCAGCCACAACAATCGCCTTGCTGTTGATAGTCACGTAAACCACTGGCATATTCACCGGTTTAGCTAAAAATATAGGACATTTCTTATATATAATACCGTCTAATTAACAACTATGAGTCTACTTACTAACCATAAATATTATTTCTTAACATAACATTACGTCTTTTTTATCCCCGAAGGGATAAGCAGAGGTGCACATTACGGCACTTAATGTCACTGTACAATGTAACACCCACTTTTCATTACTTATGTTATGAGTCCTATGTAATAGGGGGTGGACCAATCACCATATACGGGGCACATTTCCAGACTCCGTGCTACTACTGAGGTTTTTAAAAAACCCAGTAATACTTTGCCCGACACGGGAATGGAACCCGAGACCCCTTGGCGGGCAGTCGCACTTACGACCACTCGGCCAATGAGGCAGTCAATCTTATTTCTGTGTAATGAAAGATATGATCAACATATATAGTTACACTCACCATCACACTGTATTCCTTGCTGGTTGGATATAATAATTTGTCCCAAAGTGGCAATGACGCAGTATTCGTCAACTGCACACATATCGATGACGTCCGGTATATGATTTATCCAAGACTAGAAAGCAGAAACATTAAATTTTAGCACGCCTTGTTCCCTGATGCTATTTTAAGGTGTAAATCGTAAGCAAATGCAAAAGCGACGGCCAGGCAAAGGGTGCAATTCACGGATTGGTACCTCTACTGGTGATTTACCAACTTCAGTATACCGATTGTAGTTACCTACTTAACATAGGTGAAATTAATGTTTTGTACTGTACGTACACGTTTGCCTAACATTCAGTGACTACAAACAGTTATGTTATAACTAGCGACCCGCCCTGGCTTCGCACGGGTGCAATATGCATGTATTATACGTATACAAACCTTCCTGAAGAACCACTCTATCTATTAAAAAAAACCGCATCAAAAACCCTTGCGTAGTTTTAAGATCTAAGCATACATAAGGACAGACAGACGGCGGATAGCAACTTTGTTTTATATTATATAGTGATATTAGTACCTGATGTGTGACAGTATCCCAAAAGGTGACGGTTTCAGTTCCCGATGCGTATGCCAGGGTATTGCCGTAAAAAGCGTATTTATGATCCATTTTGACGTTAGCGAAGTATATGAAAGAGTCGATGGCGATTGCGAGCCGTAACGACTTCTTCTCCCAAGACAGAGCTCTCATACTTCCGCCGGGCACGCGGAGAGTCCGTATATGCTGGAATATACATTTTTCATATTTGAATTGAAAAAGATAACGGCTTACCAACTTTATTGAAAGAAGTTCTACTAGTTTACGGGACTCTTAATGAGCAGCGTCCGCGGCACGAGGACGTCGCGTATTTATCTAATTTATTTTTATTACAAGTTTTTTTTTTCATTAGTCGATCGAGCCAATAATTCGGTTCGAATTTTTTAACTGTTATTTATTATCAGGAACAGATTCTTAACTCCATGTTTGTTACAGAATAACTTCGAGGTTTTTATTTAAACAAATATTACGCCAACTCTAAATAAATAGAGGAAATATTAGGAGGTAGATACAGGATGTAGTTACATACAAATGTTACATAATATGTTTACGGCCCACAAATAAGTAGGTTTACAGAATCTTACCTCTCCGTATGCACTAAAGAATTGCACCACATTCGTCTTGTCCGAAGTAAAGCCGGCAGCGGCAAGAATGGTGCCGTTATGGTTCCAGTGGCAATCTATTATTGACATGTTTGATTCTACCACCACGCTATCTGAAAGTAAAAATACCGGGCGGATTAATATAGGTCTTCAAAAAAAGTAATTCGAAAATATTTTTCAAGCAACATTCAAATAATGTTCTGTGACATAGACGCCTAGGTCGACCTAATGATGGCAAGTAAGATTGCAGAATTACAGGCCCAGGGCTCGATCCGTACGTCGGTCGAAGGTTTATTGACGAGGGGGAGATATTTATCTATTTTTTTTCATCGTTGCCCCACATTAGGATTTTCTCCTGTGTTGTGGGTGCGTTTACAAACATTCAAGTTCACATACACAATGACACCAAGACCCGAAACAACAATTTGTGGATCACACAAAATGTTGTTCCGTGCGGGAATCGAACCCGCGACACGTTGCACGGCAGCCGGTTGCCCAGCCACCGCACCAACCGTGCAGTCAGAATTGTTTCTGGTGAATTGACTATCTATCTCTTCGGTGATTACACAAAGACCAAAACAACATAACGTTTTATGATGTAGGTACATTGGAATAAGTAGACGCCAGCCCTTTTTCAACTATAGTATTTTGTAATAAAGGTCAATCTCATTAGAAAATTGATAAGCTGGCGTAAGCGTTTCTATTTAGTAAAGCATATATTTGTAAAACGCAGTTTACCTTCCTCATTACAATTCTTCATTAGCAATATTATACCACTCTTGTAAGATATGGCCAGCACTGGTCTATTAGCTGGAGCGCTACCGGAATACCAATCCATCGTGACTATGTCCATAGATCCCGACACGCTATTTATGGCTACTGGCATCTATAATAAGAACGAAATAAAATCTTAATCAAAAATCTTAGTACTCTGCTTTAAGATCGATTAATATTTTTTTGCCGATAGGAGCGCTTAAATTAAACGGTACATCGTTCGATCGTTTCCATAAACCAAATCGTTGGACTGGTAATTTTTGGAAAAGCCTAATACGTTTTTAAATAGGTACGTCTTAAATGAGTTTAAACTGTCAAACACCAAGCGGTCACCGGTGACCGCAACCTATTGTTCTATAATTGTGTCTTTAATGACGGTACTCGACGAGTTAATATATGTACGAAGACTCGAATTCTGTAGGTGTAATAAATGTTTTAAATTGTTACTGTAAAATTTCCTTGGTCATCATAAATGTGCAGTTCTCCATTGGTCAGAGCAAACAGCAACTGTGAATTATCAGGTGACCACTGTACTGCAGCTAATCCTGGCCCTTTGATGTCCTTACCCCAAACCCGCGAACCATCCACTGAGCCTACGATAACAGCTCCTACAATTTGAAAAAATAAATATTAGCAAATATAATTTAATCAAAAATTTAAAAGATATAATAATAAAATAGGACTTCTAATGTTATTGGCTAAATAGTTAGTTACATTACCACCACAGTACTGCCTACTAAATACTGGAAATGTGAAGATATGTGAGCTTACCATCCTCATAAGCTATGCATATTTTTTGTCCATCAGAACCCCAAGCCATACTGCTCACAGTTGATTTGTTTCTGTTATTTATCATCTCTTCATACCAAGATCCCTGAAATAATAACTAATCATTATGTGCCCAAATTGTATAGGGATTGCATTGTATCATTAGATCTGAATGGAATAAATAATTGAACTGATGCTGCTTTGACTGGAGACAAGCATAAATATATTGCATTATAGTAATAGTTGCTTGCAAATAACGTGATGGTAAACACGGAGTCTGGGTAGTCTGCACCAGTGCCTGCTGAATAGCCATACCCTTAGTTCAGCTTTACCTTATATAGCATCCAGACAATGATAACTCCATGTTCATCACTAGTGGTTAATTTTTGAAATACTTCATTCCATATAGCAACACACACTTGTCCTGTGTGTCCTTCTAAGCTCAGATTCATTGACAGATTCCCTCCACCTCCTGTAATGTAAACTCTATGTTTTAATTGGACTTATATATGTTCTATCTACCCTATTCTCTAAATTCTATAATTATATATATCTCTAGGTAACCCAGCAAAGTTCATTCCACTTAAATTTTTTTTGGCACCTTTAAACCTATTTGCACTTCCACAAACATTTCAAGACAAAAATGAGCCAAATCGGTTCAGCCGTTCACGACTTTTAACCAGACTAACAAACGGAAATTTATTTTTATTTATATAGATTACTATAATAATATATAAGTCTGTATATTCAAGTTCCTAAATAAATAATCATCATGTATAAGATTCTCATAAGAATCACATAGAATTCCTATAACAGTGGCATAATATGGATGGAGAGAAGCTGCTTATTTCACATACCTACCATCCTTTGCATATGGAACGATTTTATGCCATATCTAAAGAGGATAGTTCCATTTATCATAGACGCTACATTCTACGAACATTTCAGTAACAATAGGTATGAGACATTGAGTGAGTATTATTTTATTACCAGATTCCAATTTGAGGACTTTTAACATGCCATCTTCTCCACCAACAGCAATGTAACCGGATGAATGGTTCCATGATATGCAGGTTACATTAGATTGCTTGGGTATGGCAATCTGAAATACACATACATGTACCCTTTTGTTGAATGTATTATTTAGAGGCCTTGTCAAATTAGTTTAATTAAAACATCATCTGTCCAGGACAGAATAGTACTTAGAAACTCCTTCAAACATGCTCTTAGATTTCGTGTTTTATTCATAAGAGTGTAATTCAGTGTAAATCTGTTTCAAAGGCAATCTGTAAAATTTATTTTTTTAATTACACAATGTTAAGGAAGCATATGTAATTTAATTTTGTTAAAAAACTGAAGTAACTCTTTTAAAACTAACTAATTTCAAAACTTCATCATTTCAAGCGCTTCTAAAACTTTTCTAACTTATTATATCTTTGATTTCATTAATAGTTAATAAAAGAAAAATAAAAGAAATAAGTGTCATAAATATTAAAGAAGTTACTATGATTAATTATTGTTTCATTTGGAGAGCTATATTGTAAAATAAAATTTTTCAAACTAAAACACCATCACCATGGAAACTGCTTAGAACAACAATATTATTATTGGAAAAACTACCTTCTTGCTCATATAAATGAACATTCTGGTAAGATATTCCAATTAAAAATATTTATAATATTTTCTTTCTCAACTATTTGTTTATATTAGCAAGTCCAAAATACATCACAACTTCATATCAGGGACAGGTGAACAGGTGCAAACAAAACAAAACAAAACGTCATCGTCTCTTTGGTCATCGTCAACAAGAGATTTCAATTCAAACTTTGAGACGTGATGTTGGTAAAACCTGTTCAGTTTGACATTGACTAGATCTGACCCCATTTCCGGTGTTCAGGTCCAGGTCCGTTGATTTATTTGATTTGTAAAATAAGATAAACATAAAATGTGAAATGTAGCTGCGATTGCGATTATAAAAACTATTATTTAATTCAAAAATTTTAAGCGAATGATGTGTTAATGAAAACTATTGAAATAAAACGAATAAGAATATCCAAAAATACCTGTGTCCAAAGTGATTTAAGATTTAAAAAACACTAAAATCAATACAACGAAACCAAAAAAACATGTCAAATAGATTTTTGCAATTTCTTCGCGAATTTAATTTTGCTTTGTTAATTTTACTTGTATATTATAAGTGAACTTTGTGTATTAGCTAACGTACCTAACGAGTATTTAATTTTGTGTTCAATAATATTTACCTTTACAAAGTTCGGCTTACAGAGCCGAAATTTTCATCGCAAGATTTCAAATAAAATAATAATTAAGTTCATGAAAATGTTGGGTCGAAAACAAAGCCTAAAAGGGGAACCGGTACTAGCAGACTACGGTCCCGAAGAATCTCTAAATGAGAGCGCAGACATAGAATGGGTCAATAAGGTCTGTATCAAAATTGTACAGATATTTTCTTAGCTTTTTCTTGCCTCCTTTTTAATATAAATTTTATGGTTTTAAAATAATAAAAAAGACGACCTTTACTACTAGAATTTATTAGGGTTAATCTTGCAAAATTTTAAAATCTAGCATTTGGTTTTTCGAAAGCTCTACCCACAGAAATTTCCCTGAGAATCATTAGATAAGACTTTAAGGAAATAATATGATCTACATTTTATTATTTTGTTATTATATAAAATAAAATTATTGATTATACCACAGCCTGGCCTGTACCTTTTACAAGATCCTGTACTCACATGAATGTATACCTATAAGACTAGTAATAACATATTGTTTCTTTTATTTCAGTTATGGGTTAGAAGAATACTAAGACTATGTGCTTTATTAAGTTTAATGTCAGTATCACTGAACACTCCAAAATCATTTGAAAAATATCCTTCACTTCAAACAATAACATTTGCTGTAGACTGCAGCGTTACACTTTTGTTTACTGCTGAAATGATAGCCAAGATGCATATAAGAGGAATTCTAAAGGTACGTAATTTACTAAACAATGTGCTTACAAATCAAGTACCTGTATAATTGTGGCATTTCTATTAGAGCAGTACCATAATTGGTTATTCTTAAATCTTTACAGGGAGATGTGGCTTATTTGAAAGACCACTGGTGTCAATTTGATGCTTCAATGGTATTCTTTCTTTGGGTGTCAGTTCTCTTGCAAATGTTTGAGCTGACAGGCATAGTACCCAGATACAGCTACCTAAGTATTCTCAGAGCACCCAGGCCACTCATCATGATTCGTTTTTTGAGAGTATTCTTAAAATTCTCCATGCCAAAATCTAGAATCAATCAGATATTCAAGTAAGTTGGTTTGTTTATTTGTTTATGAAATATAATAAGTAAGTAGCTTATAGTTTCCTCATAAGTTAAGATGTATTTGAAACATACACTCACTCTGTATAATTTGTGGTTTACAGGAGATCAAGTCAACAGATCTACAATGTGACCCTGTTCTTCCTATTCTTCATGTCACTATACAGTTTGCTAGGAGTACAGTTCTTTGGAGAATTGACTCACCATTGTGTTCGAAATGACACTAACCCATAGTCAGTATAATTAATATAACAAGATCTACGAATTTCTATTGTGATTCAAATATGTGCATGATTTAATAATGATATATTTGATTTTTCAGTGAAATCACAATAAATTCCTTAGCTATCCCAGACACATTCTGTTCACCCGACCCAGATTCTGGATATCAATGTCCACCTGGAATGAAGTGCATGAAGCTTAACTTGTCCAAATATGTAATGGGATTCAATGGGTTTGAAGAGTTCAGTAAGTATTATAAAGTACCCAATCCTGCTATTGTTATAGTGCATTATTCCAATTACATGTTATTTTAATTTATTACCTTCTATTCAGCAACAAGCCTTTTCACTGTGTACCAAGCGTCTTCACAAGAAGGTTGGGTCTTTATAATGTATCGGGCTATTGACTCCCTACCAACATGGAGATCAGCTTTGTACTTCAGGTAAATCATATCTCAAGTGAAACACATTTCAGTTATAATGAATAAACAATACATTATTGGTAATGTTTCCAGCACGATGATCTTCTTCTTAGCCTGGCTTGTGAAGAATGTTTTCATTGCTGTAATCACAGAAACATTCAATGAGATAAGAGTACAGTTCCAACAAATGTGGGGTGTCCGGAACCCTATCACTAAAGGCAGCACTACACAGTTTTTTACTGGCGATGACAATGGTTGGAAGTTGGTTACTATTGATGAAAACAAACACTCAGGTAATTTATTAGAAAAGTAAATATAAAAAAATATTATCTTCATACCATTTTTGAGCATAAAAAATGTAAATTTTTCTTTATTTCAGGCAGTGCACCAGAAATATTCCACAAGTTGTTACGATCTGCATATTTCCGACTGTTAGTCATGGGGGTAGTATTAGCAAATGGAATAATAACAGCTACGATGAACTTCAAACATGATGACAATCCTCGAGAATTCTTTTATGAGAAATATTACTACATAGAAGTAAGTATAAAAAGCAAATTGTGGTATTTGTAACTAGTCTGATATATTTTGGAAAAGGTACATAAATATTATTGCATTTATATTATACTAGCTTTTACCCGCGACTCCGCTCGCGTGACAAAAGGAAAAAAGTAGCCTGTGACATAATATAACATACCAATACACACAGCGCTATCCATACCAATACTTTTGTTTTCCCTCGGGAATATTAATTTTTTCCGGGATAAAAAGTATTCTATTATTTAATCCGGATTTCTAACTAACGTCTGCAAAAATTCAAAGCAATCGATTTAGTAGTTACGGCGTGAAAGCGGAACAAACAAACAAACAAACTCACTTTCCGATTTATAATATAAGTAAGGATTGCTTTGAATGCAGTAAATGCTTACAAAATAACCTATTTCAGATTGCTTTCACAATATTCTTGGATTTGGAGGCTCTGATAAAAATATGGTGTCTAGGCCTGAAGGGCTATTTCAAGCACTCTGTCCACAAGTTTGAGTTACTTCTGGGTATTGGTACTACTATCCATATAATACCTCAGCTGTACATGTCGGGATTTACGTATTTTCAGGTAAATATAATAGTTTAATTTAACTTTTAACTAACATAAGTACTGTAGTCAGTACCTTTTTTATATGATAAGCCGGTAAACGAGCGAACGGATCACCTTATGGTAAGTAATCGGCGTCGCCCATGGACACCTGGAACATCAGGGGCGTTACAAGTGTGTTACTGGCCTTTTGGGATTAGGATTTTGCAGATTGTTGGGGACTCAGGGATTGGGAAGGGGGGGGGGCTTAATTGGGCCTCCGTTACCCTCACTCACGTGACGAAACACAACGCAAGCGTTGTTTCACATCGGTCTTTTGTGACGCCGTGGTATCACTCCGGTCGAGCCGGCCCATTCGTGCCGAAACATGGCTCTCCCACACTTAAATACTTACATGTCATATACAATTGTTTTATTAATTTAATTATATCTTGTTCAAGGTACTTCGAATAGTAAGACTGATAAAAGCTTCCCCATTATTAGAAGGATTTGTCTACAAAATTTTTGGTCCAGGAAAGAAACTCGGCAGCCTGATTATATTCACTATGTGTTTGCTTATCATAAGCTCTTCCATTTCAATGCAACTATTTTGTTTCTTGTGCGAGTTCACTAAATTTGAAACATTTGATGAGGTAAGTTAAATTTGGAGATATATCGACTATTATGTGTCGCTGACGAGCCGTCTAAGTGGGTCGATTTGTCGGTATTAAAAATACGTTAGATAAATGTAAGTTTATGACATGTAAAATATGTTTCAGGCATTCATGTCTATGTTCCAAATTCTAACTCAAGAAGCATGGGTGGAGGTGATGGACGAAACTATGGTTCGCACAAGCCAAACATTGACACCGCTGGTTGCCATTTATTTTATACTTTACCACCTTTTCGTCACATTGGTAAGAATTATACATAAAACAAACACGATAACTTGACGCAATTATATTATGTTCACAATTTTATCGCAATTAAAAACTTAATTTCAGATTGTGCTGTCACTTTTCGTAGCTGTAATCTTAGACAATTTGGAATTGGATGAAGATATAAAGAAACTTAAACAACTCCGGTATCGCCAGCAAAGTGCTGAAATCAAAGAAAGTCTACCATTTCGTTTGAGAATATTTGAAAAGTTTCCTGACAGCCCACAAATGACTAAGCTGCATAAGGTCCCGGGGGATTTTAATCTACCTAAGGTAATATAAGATAAATGATATAAATAGGCTGCCAAATAGTACACAGCATAATATAATTACAATTCAATATTTGACTTGAATTCTGAGATGACACACAGAAACAGAGTTTACAGTCTTTTTTGCAAGTCCAGACGAAATTAAAATAGATGGGGCCCAATAGTGCTGATGTCGATACGGAGCCGCGGAGAACTTAACGGTTTACCGGGGCTCCGGCTCGAAATACAGGAGTAGGAACGGGGTGGGTTTTAGTCAGTAAGTTTGCCACTCCCTCTCGCCTTACCCGGGCGAGAGAAGTCATAGGATGATTTTTCGCACTCAAAAAAAAAGACGAAAGTAAAATAATATTAGAAAGTCGTGGCAATAGCGCCATTATTTTAGGGTTAACGGTTTTTAAAATTGAAGAGAGAAATCACGTGACTTATATTATAATATTGATTTATATCATTATACATAAT